TTGAATAACTTTTAGTTTGTTTATTTATCGCATGTTTGAAAAATAATTTGTATATAAATATATGGAATATGTCAATATAAGGAATATGGAAAAAAAAAACATTTATTTTGTAATAACGCCATAACAAACTGTTTTTTTTTTAAATTATTAAAAGTATAAAAATAGCTAGGTGGCGTAGTGGATAAGCGCCGCGGCCCGCGATCGTTCTCGTTAAGCAACTTTCGCAAGGGTCGGTCACGGGATGGGTGACCAAAAAATTATTATCTCGAGCTATTCCGTGCTTCGGAAGGCACGTTAAGCCGTTGGTCCCGACTGCATTTGCAGTCGTTAATACCCTCCAATCCGCATTGGGCCAGCGTAGAGGGTCATAGCCCATCCTCCTGAACCATCCATAAGGAAAGCCTGAGCCCCAGCAGTGGGGACGTAAAAAGGGCTGGTGATGATGAAATGAGAGACATTAGATATATTTAATAATAGTGAACATGAGATTTGTTTTTGACATTCCTTATTGAGAAAATCATAATAGCAGTTGCTATTTTAGTCAACCATAACAAGCAACAACGAAACTTAACAATAATAAACGAAACCAACAAAAACATCATTGCAAAAACATAATAAAAATTAATCAAAAATGAAGGACACTCTAAAAAAGTATTAAATAATTAAATTAAAAATTTAAAAGACCCCCGACACAATATATTAGAAAAAAAAATAAAGTAAAAAGCTTAAAAACAAATATTGAACGGCAAGTACCTTGACCTGCTGTTGACCGTACATATGAATACTCATATTGATGGAATCGTGACAAAATATGTAATCCGACATTTTGTGGCGGCGGCCATCTTGGATCGATTTTCATCAAACATAGTGAAAAATACCCCCGACTAATACACCTTTCAAACAAAAAAAAACAAAATCAAAATCGGTTCATCCGTTCGGGAGCTATGATACCACAGACAGACAGACAGACAGACAGACAGACAGACAGACAGACAGACAGACAGACACACACACACACACACACACACACACACACAGACACGTCAAACTTATAACACCCCGTCTTTCGTCGTTTTTGCGTCAGGGATTAAAAATATGTGTGATCTCAACACAATCTAACTAGATAAATACTGATATACGGACGCAATTACGTCATCATAATGGCGGTTAGGCGCATTAGCGATTTGCGGTTAAAAACTGGTATTTTTCGAGTCGTATTTTTAATTTAAATGATTTTACTTATGCATAAATACTTCTTTTTAAGCTTGTTGGCTAAAGACACGATATAAAAGTAAAACGCTTAATTTTTTTTTTGTAGTATCTTAGAGTAAAAGACTTAGCAGTAAAAGATTTAGCAAGTGAAAGCTTTAAAGAGCTATAGTTTAGGAACTTAAATTTGCCCAAAATGTATTTTGTCCGATAGCGCCACCGTTGGGCAAAATACAACTCATCCCCAATTTTTGCCGCTTTATCCAACTGCATAACTAACGTTAGTTATATAGGCTTTCGCGAATTTAAAAAAGGCGTCATAATGCTTATATTTTATCTAATTGTTATTATTGATTGTTGGTATTATAATTTAAAAGCCAAAAATTCCATAAAAGTTTATTCGGGATCATCACAAATACCTTTACAGATTTTTATATGTTTAAGCGTGTTAAAAGTGCACATGATAATTTTATAAATAGTAAAATATGTAATTTCTGCATCATTTTGTGGATATGTTAAAATCTACGGTGGTTTTGATGTGCATTGAGAGAGTAGATTCATATACATAATTTATATAATATTAGTACAAAAACAAAGTGGCATATGTATAAATAGACGAATAAATATGATATATGAATAGATCAAATCCGATTGCTGTCGATTTATAATCATGGGTGTTATAATCATGGTGCATGGGTGCTGCTACGGACACCTTCGTGCATCTGGTGAGCGACCACCTAAAGATCTCGCTATAAATCTAGCCATAGCTATCAGGGCTTGGAAACCGGTTAATTTTTTGAACCGGTTCGACGTAAGTACATGCACAACTTTATATAAAAGGTTCAGCTCCTTTGAACAGGTTTTTAAAATAGTTCACTAGAAATACGGTTTTCTTCATTAACCGGTTTAAATATGACTCCAGACAATGATCTCACAAACTTCAGCGCGGTTTTTAAGTGCCTTTACTCCTACCTATAACATCCGTACACAGGTATGATAAATGTCATCGCTTAAAAATGATATAATTCGCATTAAAAGAGTAAGAATATTGCTTTTTACGAACCAAGCGAATTAACCGGTTTTTATTCCTTCCGAATTTCACTTCGGATTCAGTTCCGATCCGGAACGGAACATTATAACAGAACAGGTTTTACCTAAATAAAAACGGTATATTCTGAACCGGTTTCAAGCCCTGATAGCTATAAGCACGTTCTACTGATTCTATCAATGAATATGTTAATATATTCTTATATAGTGTAATTGTTACATTGGTTGTTTTAGTTTACTCTTATATTAAAGTTAAATGAAGACAAACAAAGCAATTAAAAAAAATGTTTTTTTTTTGCATTCATTTCTTAAAAATATTAACAGATTCATTGATAGAAGCAATCTAACGTTTTTATAGCTATAAATAAAATCATAAGGATAGAGAGTTAGGCGCTCGCTCTGCTGTACTTACACAAAGGCGGTTCGCACTTATAAAAAAAGTTTTAATTAGATATTTCAAGGTTTAATATCACTGATTCATTAAATAATGCCTGTTAATAAATGTAGCCAGTCTCCTATACATATTAATATTTAAAAAATATAAATTCATCAAAATTATAAATTTTATTTACTCCTTTTTAAGTATTAGGGGCCGTCCATTAATCGCGTGATGTTTTTTTCAACATTTTTGAGGTTTGAGACTACCCCTACCTCCTTCAACGTGTATTTAAAAAAAAACAAAAAGTCTTAATTTTTGACGTCGCTTTTCGGTTTAAAAATCGCGCGTCGAGGAAAAAATCAATACACGTGAAATATTACTACACCCCCCCACCCCTTGTGATATTTCGTGTTTAATGGACGGCACCTTATGAAATAATGTAGTAAGGATTTTTTTAACTTCTGTTTACAGCATTCTAAAAAAAGCGTGGCGTAATACTTGTTGCCTCCGATTTGAATTTAAAAAATAAGACTTTATATGATTTTCTTTAGTATTTCTGTTTTCGTATTATTTTCCGACCAGGCACCACATTCTCGGCCCTTTGCTCATTCACGCCAGCACCCATGATTATTATCTCACAAAAGAGTGTTTTTATAATAAATAATAATTATACATATACAAATGAATTTCTTCAATACAATGTACAGTAAAATACTTAAGGACATTATAATTTTTTATATTTGGTGCACTACAATTCCAATATATTCTATATAAATAGGTAAAAAACAAACTAAAAGATTACGAATGATAAAATACTTAAAAAAAAATATGTAGGTGGTAACTTTAACATGATCATGGGATATTTTCACTACGTCGAATGTCGGACCTCTGTATATCCGACAATAATTAAAAATATCATGGAGTAATTTTGTCATAAACCAGTTTTGTTAGTATAAACTTATTTTTTATATTAAATTTTAGTACCTTTGTCTAAATCCACATAACTTATCAATATTTTCTATAATAATGTTTGTGAGAAACCTTACATCTTAATTACACAATAAGTCATACATCTAAATACAAACTAATAAGATCGTCGAACATTATTGTGGACATTAGACTAACACTATTTAATAAGTAAGTTCTTTGAGACGCAATACTTAAAACTTAAAACACTTATTTAAGTTGGCATAAAATTTATTAACATAATAACTGGACTAGCTCCATCACTAAGCCTATTTCGAAACTCTATTTGCATATAATGTGGATCTATATCAGACCATACTTTATAATATAGGAAATTATCTGAATTCGTCTTTAAGTAATCATAACAATCAGCTCATGCTAGCGGTAAATGAATTCAAACGTGTAGTGAGTTTTATTTATATTACAGCTACCATAATTTCAGTAGTTAAAAAAATCAAAAATACTGTATTTGATCCACAATTCATTAAAACATATTTAAAATAAAAAACTTAAATAATAATCTTATACAACCTAGTTAAAAAAATCTCTATAAATATCGGTAAAACAATTCTGAACTTCTAAACGCATAAAAACAGTATTGTGCGATGGTCATATGTGATTTAGTATGAAATAAATAACTTTACACGATTATTTTCACTTATACATTAACTTGTGAGTCATCATTAATAAACAGTTTTTGTACTTTAAACATTTTATGTCATTATTTTTAGTTATAAAGGCCTCATTTAATTATAAATCTAGGAATGATAACTATCAGATTGTTTCTAAATGAACACAAACGTTTCTTTGATTGGACGTTTTCCGACACTGCTTATACGCACACTGACACTGCACAATTTATCTAAAATCACACACACATTGTCACAGTATTTACGAGTTCGTCACTAAATAATTGCTAATAGCGTAATATTAGTGTTGTTCCGATATTCTTATGATATAATCGTATCCTTGAAAATTAGTTACAATATCGATACGTTATTGTTACGTTGGTAGTCGTTAGGGTCAGTAATTTTGACGAAAACATCGATATACTACTAGCGTCAAAAAAGTAGTGTAACGGCGACTCGATTTTATTTATTGAAAATAGACTGTAGACATCAAAGGATATACATCCATATCAATCAGTTATTTTACTGAAAAAATAAGTGGAGTTCCTAAAAACATTTCTTCAAAAAATACTTCACAATATTTAAAATACATTTACGACAAAATTATGACGTTACAATCACTATTGCCTGAAATTAATTATCTTTGTTTTGTTGCCTACAACACGCCAGGATTTGTTAAAACTTTAGTATCGAGTCATTTATTATTATCGATATCTGTATTTCAAGGTCGATTACGAATAGAACTATCGACATTTCAACATCACTAATTATTACGTCTCACTGTCCATGATACTATCTTCGGTAGCCCGCCGAATGTCGGACAAAGGGTTGCCATGCACTCGAAATCTATATACGCATGTGTAGGTGGGGTTGCCATGATTGCTCTCGACCCTGAGCTCTACAGTGTCGTAAGCGACGGGGTAATCTACACCGCCGATGTTAGTTGTCTTTGGATATTTCACTGGAAAATATTGTATAGAGGTGCCGTTCGCATCGTACATGTAGTCACCGAACAAATGCGGCTCCGGGTCCATTTCACCGTGCAAACCCTAAAATAAATCGAAATATTAATTGAAAAGTGATCAGATGCGTGTTATGCCCAGATGTGCTATATCCTGATAGTGTACGCCGGATCTGTCGGATTAACGATCTGATTAACCAAATTGATAAATTTCCAATTTATTCCCAAAATAAAATCACATTGTTTATGTTACATGTTTGTCTTTGGGTCAGCGACTTGTGGGTAGAAGTTTTAACTTTTCTTGGAGGTTAGGATCAAATAAGATGTGACAAATCGACATACAGATGAACAGGCTAGTAAAACTAAGGATTCTGTTTTTCCCTTTTGAAGTACGGAATCCTAAAAACAAAAATCTGTTTTACAAAACTCCTGACTGCTTGATATTTCTAAAAACTGACAACAACCATTATTATGCTTCAGTCTAAATAGATAGTAAATACATTAAATCTTAATCCTTCCCCAAAAAATCACTTAAGGCTGGTTTCTGAATTGAGAAAAATACAAAATCTTGATGGATTATACTCAATAACTTCAGTCTAAGAAATCAGGTTTTTGTCTATTATTTTTTTTTATTTTTCGATCCATAATTTATCGTCATATAATGACGTCATATGTGTTCCATGATTTTTTTGACCATCCTTTTTAATAAAATCACTAACCATTTAGTGACAAAATGTAGAACCCTTAGTGTTCGCTTCATTAACCCAGCTTTGACGCCCCCCCTCTCTCTCTCTTTAGCAAAAAGCATGCAATAACTTATGTTAGAAAAAAAATATATAGTTGCGACAGTTACGAAACCGATGTGGGCTTTAAACTTCGCAATATCGCGAACCCAAACGAAACTTCTATATCATTAAAATTTTAACAAATTTTTCATTTTTTTGACATATGATTTCAGTACTCACATTCCATGTTACTTTCGAAAACTACAATACTTTATAGAACAAATAGATACGAACCGATACGACGGATTCATCTCTATAGCCAAGCACCATGCACTAATCACGATATCAACAACAAAAAAACCAAATCAAATACATACCAGTCAGACATAAAGTATCGAATTACAATGCTATTAGTGTTGGATTGTCCAATAATTTGGTAGAAATGGACACTGTTTGGCTTATATCAAGAGATATTGTTGAAGAACAATCCAGACAAAATAAATTGAGACAGGTAAAAACAGACGATGGGAATATTCACTGATATAGACTATGAAAAGTCAATAAGAACATTTTAATTTCAAGTTACAAAAATGATAATAGATAGCGTCATCAGTACCAACTACAAGAGACACATTTCGTATTGCCATATATTTGTTACACATATTTCAGTTTTGTTAAAATAAATAATTTTCTAGATTTTAAATAATTTACCTAGACCTGAAATAAGGCATCAAAAATAGCTCGACAAATGGTTCGAGTTAAGAAGACATGTAGTACGTATTTGTATAAATACGTGTTACTGTTCTAGTAAAGTATTACAATATCTGTGTTAAACACAGTGAAAATATCAAATTAGTATATTAACGCCATCTATTGGCAATATTAAAAATATAAGCGTGATGGAGAAAACACACTTTTGTGTCATGTTGTGTTGAGACGCGACGGATAGCATATCGGTTTCATACAATTGTTATGGTTAAAAAGACATGAGTATGTTTTTTTGGGCGACAGAAATATATCTGATAAGAAACAGCATGCGACATCAACACTACATAAATGTGTCCGCCTTGACGTGCGGCTTTGAGTGGAATAGTATAGGTGTTTATTTGGCAACACACATCACACACACAATTTAAATAATTTGAGTGTAAAATGCTGATGAACTAAAGTGAGAACATAGATTCTCATACAAAATGCTGATATCGCATCCTTTTCGTGTCCCATAGCACAAACACAATACAAGCAAACACAATGTTATACACATTAAGCATGTGAAGTGTTGTTAGAATCGTGCAATCATTTTTACCGTTGCACATTAGACGTGTATTATTATTATATACTTCAAGGTACTTACATAAACAGAGAAATTTTTGGGCGCTGACTCGATTTTACCGTCTACTGCTAACAGTCGCGACATGTGCTCTAATGAGAAGCCAGTCACTTCGATAATAGCATAGGTTCGGATCACTGGAAATAATAAATGGAAATGTTAAAAAACATAAATTAAAACTATATTAAAAAATATCAAATTAATGTCTTCTATTGTTTTAAAGATTTTCTGCTGCTTGTTGATTGACAATTGTGATTTGTTTGTTAATAAGTAGCCTATGTTCTTTCGCAAGGTCAACTCTATCTCTGTACCAAATTTCATTAAAATCGGTTCAGTAGGCTACTCGTTTATACAGAGTTACTTTCGCATTTTTTAATATTATAGGGATGTACAACAAACAACTTTAAAATATCTATCAGTTAAAGTGTATCTCAATCTCAATCAATCGATGATATGATTTAAAGGATTTCTATATTTAATTATATATTTCGTAATTCGATTTATTGAGCCATAACTTTACATAGAAAGAGCCGCATGCAGTTCGGGATTGGCAGGTTGCAAACTATGATATAGACTTTTACATGAATAAAATGTTGAAAAGTCATTTTTGTACCAAAGAAATGAGTCATTGTTAACCTCATTTAAGCTATCTATCGAGAGTGCTAACGTTTTATAACTCTGTACTTCGATGTACTACTAGAAAATGGACAAGGAAATATTTTAATCAGGTATATTAAATTTGATCTGGCTTTTTTGTAGCGCTGGTGCGCGTATAGTTTTACCGACGCGTCGGTATAACAGTCCATGTCAAGGGAAACAAAGAATAATGTAATCTTAATAGAGTTTGTGCAAATTTTGCACAGGATTAGCGAGCAACTTCTTGTCTACTAAAAAAATTGTCCAGTAATATACACAGAAGTCTTTAACCCTGTATATAGCATCCATACAAAACTTGTCCAGTAGTATACATACTCAAGTCTTTAACCCTGTATATAACATACATACCCAGATAGCCCGGGAAGCCCTGGAAGGCCCAGCACTCCGCTGGCATGGCCCCAGGCGTGAGCGCGTACCGCGGCGACGTGTACACCCACCACACGGGCATGCCCAGTACCGAATACTGCTTAGTCTTTATCTGGTACAACTCCGTGCAGCGAGTCGATATCACCTGACCACCTGTCATGCCGGACATTGTATACTGTTAATGACTACACATCACCCTCATCATTCAATAGCGAAAATGCTGAGTTGAAATGTCACATTACGTCACGCTTTTGTAAATTTTGTACGAAGTTGTAAGGAAGTATGGCGACCATGTCTTGTGAGGTGGTGTGGATCCCATTTTTAAACTTTCATGCCTTTAATATTCGAGCTATTTCTTGCTAACTAGAAGCATGACTAACCGACTAATTAAGAGTTTTTGTATTTAAACAGCACGGGGCCTGGTAATCGACTAGCGGTAGATGCAAACCTGTCGGAGAGCTTATACCATAAAGATTTATATGTAATAGAAATGAAGCACATGAAAATATTGTGACCATTGTTTTTGATATGGTAGAGACGCCCATTTAATTTTGAACTCAAAATTAATTTATTACACACACAAACACATTCAAAATATTCTTTATTTAAAAAAATATATTTTGTATTTAAATTGCTACCGTCTTTTTCCAATACGAAAACTGCTATAAACTGTTATTAGACGGGGTAGATTTTAATGCACGAGAAAAAAGAAATTTTAACTGTAAAAATGACATACCGGCCGATTCCAACGCGTAATCCACCAGTCCAGTTTTGTCAGCGTCGTAAATCTCCAACATGCCCGCCACAATCTTCTTCACCGCCTCCGGATCGAACGCCCCTCCCCCTCCGCGCACTTCCACCTCTTTCACATACTCTCTAACTCTCTTCAACACTAACACAGTCTGTTGCTTCTCAAACGCCGCTAAATAATCCTGCACTACCGTCCTTATCTTATCCTCATCAATATCCGGTTGCCAAGAACTAATCAAACGCTCGTGTATCTCTCTACTCATCGCCTCCATCTGTTCATTACTTAAATAATATTTATCAAAGTACACCTTCAATTTCGCAGCTAACGCTTCATCATTCCCATCAGTCAAAATATGTATGAAATTCTGCTGTAAATGCTTCAGAGAATACTGTTCTATGTGGGCTTCGAAATTATCAAATTTAGACAATTTCCGATCGAAGCTATTCAGTTTGGTGTCTACATTCACCGCCCAGCCTTCCAGAGCAGCCATCCGTTTTGTTAGATCAGAATCTTGGTGTATTTGAGGTGGCGAGTAAGTATCCACTACTGGTTCAGACTGAGGTAGAATGTGATGCGAGTAATTATAACCTGTAAAAAAAAGAGAGATTTTATTAACAATGGTAGTTTGCCTCTGTCCTTCCCACATATTATTTTAAATAAACAAAAACAAAATGCAGACTTAATGAAATTGTACAGGGAAGGACAGAGTGTTATAGTTAAATTATATTTAAACATATTGACTCACCTGAAAGTGTAGAGTGCCACTGAGTGCGTCCACTTTCTTAAAGGTGATGTTTAGAGCTCTATCCTTCCCCGAATTTCAAATTTACAAATCCAATGTCTCCGCTATAGGGAAGAATTATATGGGAATTCGTGTTCTTAATATTTCCCAAAACTAAACTACAAGTAAACTCATTATTTGTAATATGATGATATGAGTTTAAAAAAGTTGGCATCGTATTTTATATAAACTACACGAGAAAAAGAAACACATTATATTTACAAAAAATATATTTATAAAATAGCTCAGAATATAAGCACAAAATAAATATTAATTATTCTTCAGGCAAAAAAATTAAGAATAAAACTTATTCATAATGAAACACAAACCACAACCTGACATAATTAGAAACGCGTTAATTATGAATACATTTTTAAATCATGATAATGTGACATTGATTTAATATGAAAATTCAATGTATTTAATAAGAAAGAAAATTGGTTTATGTCATTTCTATGCCCTTTACTGTGCTATAGGCGGATAACTATTGTTTATAATTCTCAACCCGCAGAGTTTAGAGTTTACTTATAAAGTTAAATTAATAAATCCATCCTTGAATTTGAATAACGTAAAATGAAATAAAATTATCCTCTCTAATTTTTTAAAGAACATACAAAAAACATATTATTTAAAAAATCTAAATCAACTGAATCTTGGTCAGATTAAGTATAATAAATGGATATTTAAGTCCATCATTTACTTTTTATCCTAAAAGTGACTACCCAAAAACTGATCTCAATTGATACACTTCACATTCATCCCAGGAGATTATAGGTATTAAAAAAACCTGATGAGTTACTGTGTACAATATATTCATATATCTCGGAAAATTGCTGCTTTCAAGATTTTGACATAATCACCCATATATATTTCTTTTGATAACTGCTATCGATTATGAAAAGTACATTGACTGACCATTATTAAAAAAAACTGGATTTGAGAATGCGAAACAGCCAGAAGTCAAACTATTTAACATTATAACCTCTTTGAAGATTTATAACTAAACTCTTAACTCTCATATCATTATTACTTCAGTCTTTGCTTTAAACAAATCTATTTAAACGTTCTAGAAATTTGGTGACGAACATAATACCTAATACAGGTACATATTGTTTATTTTATAGCGACAAATTTATGACTAGCGATTAGTCTTGTGATATTAAACTAGAATCAATTAATAATTTGTACCAAACTCAATTAAACTATACCTAATTCTATTTTTTTAGTATGGCCATGACATATTGTGTACCAATATAAAAAAATACAAATTAACGTTACATTAAAGCATTAGTATTATTTTTAATAAATAGTAATATTATTTGAAGAAATAGAATAAACATTCAAATCATAAAATGTATCATAGTTATATTATATTTTTTATATGGAATGGAATAAAAAATAATAATGACTTATGGATTGCACAACACAAATATAAATAAAAATATTTTTTCAAATATAGAATCACTCAATTCTTAACCTACAATAATAACATTAATATTGATGTAATTTATTATTACACATAATTATAATATGATTGACTTACACCATTATTCATTATTATAATCATATATATCGACAATCTGGCCAAATCACCTCGATTTACAAAGGCTCTCATACAATGCGTATGGATTTTTGTGACCTTAGTACTTGCGTTAATTAATTCAGTTAATTAGTATTTTTTTTCTTGAAAAGATTTTACTACGAGCTCGAGCAGAGTGATCTTCAAATTTGGAGACCAAAACTCGAAGCGAAAACAATTGCGAGTGCTAAGTAAAATTTTGGACCATTACAATTATGAAGCCAGATTGACGGCAGCAACTATGAATACTTTTCCATAAAATGTGCTGCAATAAATTATTTTAAAAACAAAATTATAAAAAAAAAACCATTAAAAGGTGATCTTATTGAAGAATCAATAAAGAGCCTTACTTAAAAAAAATAGTAGCTCTATAAATATACCAGCATCGTATTTAAGTACAAATTATGTTCGCATTGAGAAAATTAAATAAACAAAATCAATCTATGCCATTCATTCGATAAGAAATTCTTTTGCATAATAAAAATTAAGTAAATTACATATGTATCTATTTATCACAGGGATTGTGCACTGAAACTATAATAGTCTGTTTCAAATCAATACTTTTTACATACACAAAGAAATTTAGAAATTTGAAGCAGGTTCCATACCGTTTGGAAAGGAGGACAAATTTGAAAAGTTTTTATTTAACTTTGAAATATGACACTGTTTGAGGCGACCAGTGACAAATAACATTAACATTGTTGATGAATAATTGATAATTACTTTACCAAACACCACTAAGTACATAGGGTCAAGCATGATGTTTATACCAAGACATACAAGACAAGTACAAAATATATGTCCACTAGGCTTATTTAGTGCGGGTAGTAATTAGGATAGTATTTATTGCGGGTTTGACTATGTCCTTGATCCTTATAGGATAACAAGTATGAATTGTACAATTCATAGCAACAAGGCAATTTCTACCTAAATGATTATTGTCTATCCAATTCTTAAACCGTTAAAATATTACCTGAAACATCAAATGACTTTTATTAAGTTGTTTCGAAACAGACTTTACTAAATGTATTAATTCCCTAAATGCAAACATAGACAAATATAATAAATTATAGGTATACAGCCGCAATCATCCTATCATCCCGTTCCAAAAACGTCGTATCTCTTCGAAGCAACTCTGTCCAACTATTTTCAAGTAATCAGATGCGTCGCCGACTCTGTTCTGTACTATGTCTTTGTACTCTCTGTAGGTTTTCCTCACTTCTGGCATTTCTGGCAAGTTGTCGCGTATATCTGGCAACGTTATGTTGATATCTGGCATCGTCAGATTTAAGCTTGGCAGCGTAATATTGGGTAGACTCGGCAATGATATGTTCGGCAGTAGTGTAGCCGAGAATTCCTTCAAATCTAGTTGGAAATCGGTTAAGTTCGGCAGAGCAAGATGCTCCCAATTTTCATACGTATAGTGAGCTGAAAGGAATGTTTTCTTACAATTACCTAATCAATATATTAAACATATGTATTTAAATGTGAAATATTAATTATCTAGCAGTAAGAATAAATGATCCCGAAATGCGAGAAAAATAATCGCACTTATAATATAATTACAGAATGAAATCTTATTTATAAAAATATAGTAAAATTGAATTAAAATCTGCAGTGAAGCTTATTGTATCTTTTAATAAAAAATTGTCTTGGGATATTTTCATTTACTTATTTTAAGTGACTGATAAAACTAGACTTTGGAAAACGAACTAACAATATTATTCAATCACTGTGTGTAGAATCCCAAAGAGCGGAATGGGTCAAGATTATCCCCAATCTGTGCTGCTTATTATGCTAAATTTAAAGTAAATTATCATCATCTTCATCATCAGCTCTTTTATGTCCTCACTGGAAGGGCTCGGGCCTCCCTTATAAACGGTTAAGGCCCTTCACACTGACCCAATGATGATTCGAGGGTATTAACGAGTGCAAATGCAAACGGGACCAACGGCTTAATGTGCCTTCCGAAGCACGGAGTAGCTCGAAATTTATTTTGGTCACCCATCCCGTGGCCGACCCTTGCGAAAGTTGCTTAACAACAACGATCGCAGGCCGCGGCGCTTATTCACTACGCCACCAAGCTACTTTTGTTAATAAAGTCTCTAAAGTTAATTATATAAATGAATTATTAACTCACATCCGTAAGCGAGGGCCGGTATCAGAAGCAACAGCAACCAGGGCCAGCGACGCGACGTTTGTTGTTTTCTCTGTACTTTGATTGACTCCGTATATTCTACGTGGTTGGGTGTTATCTGTAACAAAAAAGGATTTATCTTAAAGTCGACATCCCTAGTTTCGCTTACGTGAGCGGATTTATGGTAGTCAGTTGACTTACTATTCTTACATGGTTGAAACTGGACTAAAGTTGTCTTCAGCTACATTAATAAATTCAATTATTACTTGAAGTCTGAGCAAATTGATTTTAAATATGCTTTCACAAATATCAATATTACTGATATCATGAAGTTGAGCGATTTGTTTGTTTGCATTGGCTCCGAAATTACCGGACCGATTGTAAAAACTCTTTCATCCACATGACGGCACATCATGCGGGTGACGTAGGCTATAATTTATAATTACCAATCACATGTTTATACGAAATTATAAGACTTCTGTTTTTTTTTTTTTGTTTAGAAGAAGAAGAAGAAGAAATGAAATGATGTTTATTTGCAAGAAAGTGGTCACAGATATGATGTTATTTTTCAAAAAAACACACACATTCTACCAACTTAGTCAGCATACAAATATTTTAAAACCTATAACGATCTAATTCAAATTTCTTAATGTCAGAAAAACCTAAAAACAAATAGCAATATCATTCCTCAAAATTTATAATTTATGAAGTTGTTAACATTATAATACATTTTCAATGCAGCTATTTTTTTAATCCATTGTAAACACCGAAAGTGAGTCTTTAAACACGTGTTAAATAAAAATGTACTGAAATCCTTTACTGATACCAAAGAAATTAAAAAAAAAAATGAAAATATGTCAAACTTTAGACGCAAAAGTATTTCAAGGAGCCTAGAACGAATATTTTCAAATAAAAATGTATGACACGAAAACAAATATCACGTTTATTTTAACAAATAATTTTTATCTTTAATACATACTTAGTTTTATTAACCTATATATTTGTTTTAATTCCTCGCAAAAAGCATTGAAAAATGTTGTAAGAAACTTGAGCGTAAAAGGTTTTTCGAATTCGTGTCAATGAAAATCCTCGCTACGCTCGTGTTTTCAATTTGGCCCTTATTCGTAAAACCTTACTTTCCGCACTCGTATCTTAATTGTACATTACGATATTAGTGCGTTATGATGGTTATAACATGCGAGGCGGAATTTCAGCCCGAGCCGAAGGCGAGGGCGTAATTGCACCGAGCATGTTATAACCAATACGCACGTATATCGTACGACGTTTTTTAAGACATTTGCGAGGAAACAGAAAAAAAGATAACATTAAATAAACTCAATCTGTGAATGTACACTGTTGCTTTCCCGCCATTTTAACAGCGCGCTAGCGCTGCCTACTGACTGGCGCCGCGCGGCGATTAGTTCGAAATTTGAATAGCAACAGCGCGCGAAATGGCAAATAATACTGTTATGGAATTTGTAGGGACTATAACTTAACTATTTGCTTTGGTAACACACGCGTTTTTTATGACCCGCTTTACATATTTAAAACCGGTGGAATTACATCAGCTTTACGAGCAAAGGTGTTAAAATTAACTATTGTCCAATAATAAATTAAATAAGAAGAAGATTAAACAAGCAGTTTTTGTTTAAACATACCGTTTCTGTGACTGTCGTGACCGTGGTAGTGACGATTTCCTTGAGAACACTATAGATCCAGACGAACGGCGCTACAGATGCCGACGCCGCACGTGATACCACACCCGCTGTAAACAATAGGGTATTCTCTCTGTTTGAAATAATACTTGTGTTTATTTTAATTTGAATAAGCCATAAAATAAGTATTTCGGAAAAATAAACGCTGTCTTTGCTTTAAGGCAAATCAAAAATCAAATTTTAAACTTATTTAAGACTCGTGAAAACGCTGATATATTCATGGCGTCATTTTGTACGCAAAATAGATGCATAGAGTAGCAGATTGAAATATATAAATAAGTTATGAACAGTGCCATCTAGGAGATTAATGTTTAATAAATAGACATTGTTTAAGATTACTCTGATAGCTGTCGCCAGAGTGACGTCACACATACAAAAAAATCTCTAGTTTTAATTTTAAGATAATCATGCTATTTCATGACTCAAAACCTCTATGCTTATTACAATGTAAATTTTAGTTTTTGTGCAATTTCATAATTTATTTTTCATTACCAAATTTACTCTATTTACTAAGAATCATATGATATGATATGACTAGCTCGGTGGCGTAGTGGATAAGCGCCGCGGCCCGCGGTCGTTGTCGTTAAGCAACTTTCACAAGGGTCGGTCACGGGATGGGTGACCAAAAAATTATTATCTCGAGCTACTCCGTACTTCGGAAGGCACGTTAAGCCGTTGGTCCCGGCTGCATTTGCAGTCGTTAATACCCTCCAATCCGCATTGGGCCAGCGTGGAGGGTCATGGCCCATCCTCCTTAACCATCCATAAGGAAGACCTGAGCCCCTGCAGTGGGGACGTAAAAGGGCTGGTGATGGTGATGGTGATGGAATAAGAATCAATATAAAGAAAAATAAAACTCACACAGACTTCCAAAATTCGAAGAATGATTAACTAAAAAAGCGGTGAGCATATTCAAGATTTCTTTTGATGTGGGACTAAAGATCAGCTTGCTATGCTTCAGTTTCGTAGTATATTATTAACCGCTGCATCAGTAGTAGTTAACACCCACCATACCGCACTGGACCCGCGTGGTGGGTCATGGTCAATTGTCCCTAATCGATTCGCCTATTTCATCATCATGCGCGACGCAGTTGCTAGCGAGTTCTATCTGCGATACGGTTGTTAAGCAAATTTCACAATGGCCAGTTATAGGATGGGTGACCAAAATTTATTATCTCGAACTCCTCCGTGTTTCCGGACGACAGATAAAGGCATTTATCCCGGCTGCATCTGTAGTCGTTAATACCCATCAATCCGCACTGGGTCCGCGTGGTGGGTGATGAGCCATTCTCCCTATTCGACTTTATCCATAGGGAAGGCCTGAGGTCTTGATCCTATCATACATTATGTAATTAGATTAGATTGACGAAATTCCGAGATTTCTGTATAAGCTGTTTATTGTACCTTTAGATGGTCTTCTATCCGTGTACGGGTACCGATGTGAGGGTCCCGCTATCTTTCTATATGTGTCGCTGACAGTAGTTGTGATAGTAGTCACGATGGCCAGTAGTAGTCGTGTGATCCACCACCTCTGTTCCCTATGCCGAAATCCCCCATTGCCTTGTACGTACACGCCCTCGTCGTCTGAGCTCTCGATGGTCTGTACACAGTTTTAATAATAAATAAATATTTGCTAAAGTCACATATATTGCGCTAAGATACCAAAATTATACTAGGAAATATCAGACACGAAGGTACCAGACCCGAGACAATATAGAAAAGTTCATTTTTCTGTATTGACCCAACCGGGATACGAGCACGGGACCTCAGAAATGATACCTTGAAACCGACGTGCTAAACCTTGGCCTAAGGAGCTCGTCAAATAATTCTCTCTACGCCAAAATACTCATAAATATTAGACAGTACAGTAGCTTTTCACATACTTGAAATCTAAAATAACCAAGTTATTACAACATCCAGATCCAGACATTGCCCGGCCAAGCATCAACTCACTAACAATTATTATTTTGGTTTATTGCCGAAATATATAAAACGGAATTACCGGTAACATTCATCCAGAATAAAACTCCTTTTATCATACTGTAACCCTGAAGACTTAAAATAGGACTCAGTTTTTAAATTTGCAGCAAATATTTATTGTATTTTGATTAATTTTGCATTCACAATGCCATACTGAAAATTATTCTTAATACAAAATGCTTAAAAAATCCACTTGGTCCCTGGCACCCTGAGATGGTGCTTAAGTAACAAGTGCTTGAAAGATTCGTCAGTCCTGTTAGGTCCTGGGTAGCTCAGTGGTTAGTGCAGTCGTCCGGATTGCGAAAAGTCGTGGGTTCGATTCCCATCTCAGGGTGCTAGGGACCATGTGGATTTTTTAAACATTTTATATTAAGAATAATATTTATTGTTATGGTATTGTGATATTCTTAAACATTCATTCATTTCGCATTTTGTTTCCAAAATGATCTTTCAACACTTACAGTGAACCTCTTTCTGGTGGTGCTTGTCTTCCACGTGGTTGCTAAGAGATCCACCTCGTCGACGGACGTGTTAGGACCTTGGATCCTGAACTGGGACAGTGACCTCCGAGACATATTCGGTACAGCTACTTGCCCGGGCGCCAACTCGACACGATCTTTGGACAGTGGCGAGTATGTGTAGTCTGTTTTGGGATATTTGCTGTAAGCAAAATTAAAATAAATGCGTATATTATAATGCATAATGAAATGTCGCGACAGCAGTGGCTCGAGTGCATCAGAGCTTCCTACCAGTCAGTAGAGGTGTCAATAACCAGGCGATTGTCAATCATCTGTTCTGTCCATTTGCAGGTGGAGAGATGCGTATTGGGTTATCTCTCCCCCACTACCATTTATCGCGGTGTCTGCAACGCCGCCACATCATGACACCGCTTTCACTCTCACTCTCTCTCTCTCTCGCTCACCAGTCATCAGTGGCGTAGTGTGCGTTAGAGGTACCCAAAATTTGTTGGGGGAGGGGGTAGACCAAATAGAGAGTGAAAATTATTGCTCGCACACGTCAGGGACCCGTATCATTGATATGGCGATAGCTATGCCTCTGCCAGTCATGTAAACAGGCCATACTCTACGTTAAGAATGCCTGAGGGGTAGACTAAAATAGCCGGGCAACTTATAGTCGAGATTACTCCGAACAAAAATCAATACGACCATCCATCTACGGCTCAAAAAAAAATTCACGATGAAAAAAAACAAAAGCACGCGACACTGAGTTGCCGATTGATTGACTTTATCAATTATTTCACTTTTGTAAAGACATTCCTTCTTTTCGGGACTCGAGACATCCCATACAAAATGTATCCCAACCATCTGGCAGTCCCATACAAAATGTACGAAATACTATGCCGCTGAACTTAATAAATATATCGTTTTACATTACCTGCTGAATTCCACGAATCTGAGCCCTCCATACATGATTAGTCTACCGATGTATATAATCACAATAACTAGACTAACCCAATGTCCTTCCTATTCACAAATCACCAAAGACAAATAACATTCGCAAATGATTTCTAATGTTAATTTATCAATTTCTTATATAATACGTGAGTTTAAGTTATTGTTATTAAACGAACTAACGTAAACGCGATGCAGTCTCGCGTCGTTTGGCCGAGTCTGACATTTGCGTGTACTTCGCGTTTCAAATATAGAACATTATATTTTGTTGGGAGTGGCTTTAGTACTGTCGTGTCATGTATATCTTTGCAGCGACTTCTAATATTGAAAGCTTTTTTCTATGTCTTTTATAATATACTAGCTTCGCTTCGTGGTCCCTGGCGGGTTTTATATAATGAATTAATGAAACAGATATAATTACAATGACTAATTGAATAGTAAACAATGGTTACTATGGTAATCTTTTAATTCCCTATACAAAGTTCCACTTCCATTTCATCCATTTATTTGCTGTTTTTCGGGATAAAATATAGCCTATGTCCACCGCATATGGTGTAGCTTCCTGTAGGTGAAAGAATTTTTAAAATCGGTCCTGTAGTTTCGGAGCCATTTTTTTCTTCTTTATAATATTAGTATTGATATAGATCCTAGAACGCGTTTTGACCTAGTAGGTTGTACCTTGAGAAATGTAATATCTACATATCTAATATAGTATTGAAAATTTAAAATAGATGGTTATTTTTTTTTCATTAAGTCTTTGTATTTATTTTATAAACGACTTTCTTTCGACGTATTTACATAATGTGATTTTTATCAATGGTCGGTTATTTATTATAATTAAGCGTCCATATCTCGACATATGTTATACCCTACAGTGCTATTAATAAACAGTGTTTAGCGTCAGAGTAAATTTACGCTTAAATTGCAATTTAATATTAGTCCAAATTCATATTATACAGAGAACAAGCAAATCTACTACCTTCTAGGTGTAAATATTACTCCCGTAGAACCTCGTACTTGGTTAAACTTTGCCAAGTCTCTGTTTAATAATATGAATTTTGACTAATACTAAGTGCAGTCTCAGCGTTTTACTCCAACGGTAAACCTTGTTTATTAATACACTGTTTATAACAACTACAATAATTTCTCTTGTATATAATTTCTAGTAAGTCAAAAATTAATTAAGCAATAAAATTAACAAAGATGCTTTGTGTATAATTTCCAGTAAGTGAAAAATTAATTAAACAATAATTAACAAAGATGCTTTCTTAATATTCGAATTTCAAAAATATTTACGACGATTATAAGTAAAATTTAAAATGAATGCCGGAATCACCCAATGAACGCCAGCGAATCTTAATAAAGTAAAGTGGGAGAGACTGAATAGGCTCGATTTTCACTTCTAACGAGCAGAGTATTCATGCGTTTTTCGATACTCGGAAAATAATTTTTTAATGCGACCTCTTCAAAAATTCAAACGTCTTTGATAGAAATCAGGTACGAAAATTAATTATCAACAAGATAAAAAGTGTAACTTAGTTAATATAAAAACTGATATATTTATATGTATTACATCATGTCTTCAAACTAAATTTACAAACACCTTACAACTGCTATCTAACCTGTTTCTATGCTTTAAACCTGTAAGTGAAATCTATTTTATTCCTCCGAAAAAAAAAACGAAATATATTGAATAGTTCATATTGCTTTATTAAAAGATTTGCGTATTATTTGTTCTTCGGTGGTAATGCTATAAAAAAAACCATTGCAAAACCGTAAATTCTAAAAAGAAATTTACTAGACACACAATAGTGTAGAAAATTATAGAAAATTTATTTTCTGGAGATAATCCTTAGGCCTTCTCAATAAAGTAACTCTGAATTTTCCGACTAAGCTTCCCACCGAAAATCTAAAGATAGTACACAACTAACCTCACTGTGATAACTTCCTCAACCGTTTCCACGTCCATAACAGTTAGTACATTAGTAGTCATTGTCAATTAGATTCGATATTAAATTAAAATAAACACTAATAAAACAAACATTCACATTAAAACTGCGTTAATTCTAATCCAGCCAGCTGGTAACTGATGTCAGTGTTTGCTCGAGATAATAACGCACTACCCTCAAAAATATTTTATGTTAATAATTCAAACTGCAGTTTACTGTAAACGTTAATATAAGTCTTTTTTTTAACGGGCTAGTTATAATATTTTTTACCGACATGTAGTTCCGTGTTTCACTTAAAGTTAATTCTTATTTCGTTTATGTGTATTTCTCGTCTTTATGTACTCAGAACCTTTTTACCTATGTAAAAACACGGGCGCATCAAAACTTTTTAGGGTTCCGTACCCATAAGGTAAAAACAGGATCCTATTACTAAATCTCGGCGCTCGGTCTGTCTGTCACCAGGTTATATCTCATGAACCGTGATAGATATATAGTTGACATTTTCACAAATGATGTATTTCTGTTGACACTTTAACGCCACAAGTACTTAATAAAAAATATTTAAGGGGGCCTGCCATGCAACAATCATAATTATTTTAGCGTTTTTATAGCTAATGGTACGAAAACGTTCGTGCAGGAGGTCAACTACCACTTGGTCTATTTTTATGTTGTAATAAATTAGATGAAACAAAAAACGGCGAAAAAAGCAGCACTTGCTCATATTTTTGTAGGTTGTTCTTGGTACAAGACTAAACATTCTAGAGCTAAAGATGTGTAAATGGTCGGATATGTCATACTCACTTCCAGTACTCGCCAGCCATCTTGTAAAGGCGGTAGGGCAGGTGATCGACGGCCGGATCTTTGTCTAGCAGCACGCTGGTGTCTGCCAACGCTTGCTCGGCGAACGAGCTGTCCGTCGAACAAGCGCTATGCGTTGGGCTGCTCAGTCGGAATGATCTAAAAAAGAATAACGTAAATTATAAAACCGTAGAGTTCATATAGCTTTTCATCTAACTTAAAGTGAAAAAACAATTTTCTTAATTTTTTTCTCACAGGCATCGTAGTTTTAAAGATAAATAGAACGAATGTCAATTATCACGGAGATCAGCTATTTACAACTTGCTTTAGAATACAGAACGTGAACAATACTATATGTTTTTTATTAACATATGAGCCCGTCAATAGTATTTGTATAAATAATGACTTAAAAAAAGATGATCTCCATTTCATTTTAAGGAGACCAATGTAATTAATAAAAAAAACCTTATCACAACTTTAATTGAATACTGACCTTTAGATAAACTTATTTCACTTATACCAACTAATACGGTTCATGTTAAATAAGATACGAGATGAGAACATATCATACAACTGCTAGAAGAGCATTCCTTAAATTGGACTGAACTATCCATCTGCGTATTAGACGATGATGGAAAAATAATGAACTAATTAGCATTCTAATTTGTCAATGCATTGTGCGTTGTAATACCATTTCTTTTGTTAGTTCGGTCATATCAAGGTCGACTGGTGTCTGCTCGCTGCTGTAAGGATCAAGGCCGCACCTGCTACTTGCATTATCAGGAAACATTTGTCAATGGAATTATTTACGAGTACAAGTTACGTCAACAGAAGATTCGCAAATATTATGTTCGTAAATCATTGGCTCGTTTCCAAGTGTACCACCGTGTTCGCTGAGGTTGAGCGTTTTGTAATCGGGAAAGGCGACTTCATTAAAATATGTATTCGATTACTTGTTTTGATGGCAATATCGAATGATAATACGGTGACCTGGATGCACGCAATTTCGAGATACGGCGAGGTTACACCGTTTGAATGAGTTTGTAAAAAGATGAACTGAAATGTGTTCTCGTACTTTAAGCAATTCCAATAGAAGAAAATAAAGATTATAAACCTTAACCTACTGTAACCTGTTACAGGTTTATGGTCGAATTGTGTACGGTAGGAAACTGCGTACATTACGTGATAATAATATCAGTTAAGAAAAATATGCTAATAAAGACCAGTATCGCTCGGCGATAAGGTAGTTGGAAGTAGCGATAGTACCTTCACATTAGAATACCAACCGAATATCAGCAAACATAAAGATTTTTTTCGTTAATTCATTTAGTAGATAAATCTTTAGAATAATATATTTTTTTTTTCACTACCAAGCATTCATAGTTACTTCAGTTGCGGAAAAACATGTGCATAAGAAACTCATTTAAATGTAACACAAACAACAACAAAAAATAGGTAACTTTTTACAATAGAAGATTTTGAAAAACCAACATCTGTTTGAATTACATAAGCATATATTATATTATTAGCATATAACCTTAAAATTAACTTTTTTACCGTCCTATCTAGATTTAAAAACTGCAAAAATCCAACATGGAAACTTTTTGTGTAATTCGTTTCTTTTTTGGTATAAGATCTCTTCCTTCTTATATGTGTAACATGTCAAATACTCACCGGTCGCGCGTGACGTTGTGCGTCGAGATGGGGCTAAGAGTGAAGTCGGCGAGGGTGCTGAACCCGCGCGAGCTCGTAGACACCAACTCATACCGACTGTTGATCTCGTTCTGATGACAAAAAAAAAGAGATTTTAGACAACAACATCACATACATTTCTCAGGCGAGTAGTGTCTGAGATAACGAAGGACAACGTGACAATGGAGAAAAGTTTATTTTCTACATTGACCCGATCGAACACGAGACCTCAGAGAAAGTGACACCTCGAAACCAGGCGTACGAACCACCACTCTGCTAAGGAGTCGTAAAAATAAAACATTCGCATGTTTGGATGAGAAGGATAAAGGAAGTAGTGGCATGATTCTTTAGTAAACAGCCTATAACCCGACCTCGAGCACAGCGCTGTCACGACAGCCGATCGCTCATAGTTTCAATAAAATAAAAATTTTGGTGTCTGCTCTCATTTACGAGTTCCAGGCCACTGCTTTCTCGCGACTTCAACGGCGTAAATTATAGCCTATCTAAATTGCAGGATCGACCGTTTCGAGATTCATGTCCTTTTTTTCACCACAAACACATCAGATATAGAATTGAAAAAAAAAAATAGTATTGTGATGTGACTCATGCTGCTTGTACTCCAGTACAAAATAACTTTAGGTCTGGGTATGGAGTGTCATTCATGACTATAGTATCCGATGATATTTTAATAACAGTTAAAAATGTATATACGATGTTTTCATAAATAAGTGGATAAGAGAACAACAGCAGGGGACGACCTTATTTGGAAAACCAGGAAAAAGTTCGTCATAGTGCTAAGTATAAAACTGATGAAAGTTTGGAGTATTCGAAGCGACATAAAAGAATGCAAACTTTATTATCAAGTATCAAAACTACTCATATCATCGGATATGATAAAATAAGAACATTTGTACCGATAGGACTAGGTAACTTTAGAAAAATACCTAATTAGCTGCCGTAAAATTAATACCAAATCATCGTAACATGTACTAAGTACAATGTAATAACAAAAACAGCATCACAGGCATCACGATGATATCACCTACAGACACAACTGCTTTGAAAAAAAACATCAAATAATGAATTTCTTTGGAAGTGATTATAGAACCGTGAAGCCTTTCGTTTCCAACTAACACTGCATCTATGACTCATGGTTAGGGCTTTGACTTCAACGTTTGGACCATTAAAGTCGCGATTTATGAGATACAATCAGGTTTATAAGTTTACTAGCTAAGCCCGTGAACTATATACAGGCTGATAAAGTAACTTTATTGGTGACAAAAAGAATTCTTGTTTCAAGTAGTTTGCTCCCGTGAATTCCAAGCTGGTTACTGGAGTCCGTACTGACTCGAGACGCCTTGTGGACACCTACTTGGTATGCTGGCTGCGCTATAACCAACTTTTTTAAGCTAATTACCAAAATGGTCGAAGATATTAAAGCAGTTTGATCGTCCTCACAATTTGTTCTTATTATAGTGACAAACAAATTCCATCATTACAATAAGTTTTATATCTCTAAATAATATATAAGAAATATTAGCATTACCAATTTAAGAATTATGTCAACCTGCACCTAAACGTTAGTTTTCCTCGACTGTACCATTAAAATGTAAAAGTTATTACTTTGGTGAGCTAAATTCTTCCCAGAGCAAGCGTAATATGACGGACTCGAGTCACTTTTCTTGGGTCAAGAGTGAGATATCGTGCGCACCCAAGAAAAGTTACAATTGGATGTAGACAAAACATATTATTATGGAATATACAGGGCGTCGTACTCGTTATTCTAAATATCCACAACAAGATCAAAAAATCGATAAGGAGTGAATTAATCAAAAAAGTGCGACTTTGTATTCAACAGAATGAGACTCATTTTGAGGTTTTGATAAATTTATTAATTATGTATTTAAAATGTTAAAAGTTATAGTCTCCCTTTTATTTCTGACACTGTTATTTAGAATAAAATAATCCTTATGATGAAGCTTTTCTATCGGTATGATAAAGCTACAGGGTAATTCTTTTTCTGGTGTAGCGCGTTCGATTCCTGGTTCAAACATGTAATTATTTAAAAATCTATGAATGCAGTTTAAGTTGATTTTTAAAATAAAATAATGTCTTCTTTCAGTAAAATGTTCCATCTACAATATTTAAGGTACTTTCTCTGCATGTGGCATAGTAGTGGGAAGCCCTGTATACGTATGTCTTTTCTTGAAATATAAATATAAAAAAAGTATATTTTTTAAGGTACTGCATTTTTAAGGTTCAAATAATTAGAGCAAACATTTAGTTTGCCTATATGGACGAGCCGGCCCAGACACTACACTAACCAAAAGCGAACGGAATGTTGTTGACAAAACACTAGTCAGCTTGCTCAAGGTGTGGTTATGGAACATGAGGAATGCAAACTACTAATACTGATCATAAAAGCATTACAACAGTTCTCTTAAATAGGTGTACAATAACAAATTCAATTCTGATACCTTCAACTGGTGTAGGTAAATTTCTTAAAATTAAATTAAATTTGTATATGACATCCATAAACAAATTAAAAAGTTTCATCTCGACAAGTAAGTTAAAAAATATATACATAAATATATTGCCTAATCGGGTTGAGCATGCTTATTAGAGGGTCCGAACCCAAAGGATAAAAACGGGACTCTACTACTAAGTAGGGTTGCCAGATTTTTCGGCTTGTAATGGGCAAATGCTTACATCGGTGAAAAATATGGGATTTCCATATTTAACCGGAATAAATTAAAAATGGAATACTAATACATTTTTCAGTAAACACGTTTGTTCGATTAATGCTTTTTAATGCGCGCATGATTCAATACAATTATAATCATAGTTAAATATTAGACATTAATTATTCTACCAAATTTGACAACATTCGTAAAATCGAATTAATATACGGGACAGAGTCGGTCCCGGCGGGAGATTTGAATTTATTCCTGAAATACGGCACAAATTGAAATATTATTACTGAGCCTCCGCTGTCCCTCTAACACTAGGCTGTATACCATGAACTCGGATAGAAGTATTGCTGTTGCCTCTATAACAACAAATAAAATAAATATTTATGGGAGCCATACAACAAACGCGTTTTTTATAATGGTACGGACCCTTCGAACGCAAGTCGATTCGAACTCGGCTGGATCTTTATAGACGGGTGAATAACAAATTGTAACTATAAAGCAAATTGGTTTCCGTGGAAATTGCTTAAAAGTACTTGGAAGTTGCATCCAGGGAAAAGGGAAAACGGCAAGCAGCCAAGCCAGTTTCATTCTTAAAAGAAGACCGGTAAACTCTAGTTTACAATATCGAAATATTCAACGACATATCAAACACCCTACTTCGCTATATCACAAAACATCTGCCAACTGATAAACACAGATTAACAAATACACCATATAGATAATAGAACTATCTAGACACTAAACCGACCTTGAAGGCACGAGAACACATCTTCACGTACACGCGGCGATACTATCGATTCTCATAGCCAGTTTTCGGGTATCGTCATAGCAACGTATTACTAGAGTACACCACTTACCTTCCGACAGTATCTTCTAAATAAAGCACAGATAATTAGGTCAAGAACCACCGCCGTAAACGAGCAATTATAATCAGGCACACTTAAAACTATGCACTAGCAGGCAACAGACTACTATCCTCAGAGCAACTGAAAGGCCACAGATGGCTTGTAATAATAATACCCGTATTGTACCATGTGTAACTAAAATAAACCTAAGCGGGGGAAGTCTGATTTCAGTTATATTTGGACACATTAATGTTTTCCTGTATTGTATCGAGCAAGTATAAAAAGTTTTTTGAGTATAATTCACAAATTTATTATTATTATCGTCACCATCCCATTAATGTCCCCACTACTGGGGCATAACGTCTATGAAGAGTCAATAAATATTAACTGCAAAAATGCAACTTTTCAGGAGACGAAAGAAACGTTTCAAATCTATTATATTGGTTTTTTCAGTACATTGCAATTATTGTTTATCTTACAAAAAAATAAGAAACGAACCCAAAATCTTTGTCACTATTGTGTAGTAGTTGTTTTACAACGAATAATATATACAATAAAACAAAAATTGACAAAATATCAGTTATTATTTATTGACTCTTCATGGGCGATATGCCTTCCCTATAATAATAATAATATCTACCACAAAAGTTTTTAAAAAATTACGCAAACAAGTGCCAAAGTAAACAGTCATGTGGAAGACGAGCCAGAAACTAAGCCTAAATAAAGCTTGACGTTTTCAAGTCACCAGGCTTCTCCTCCAATATTGCTATTTTCCTAATTCGCACTGTATTTAAATTGAAATTAACAAATTAATCATGATTATCGTGCAGCTCTCCAAACAATGTTTTAGTACGTTAATATTTGAAATCATAAGTAGAATATGTATGTATATAAATATATGATGTATAACTTTAGTTAAAACAGTAGTAAATATTATTTTATATATTTAAAAAAAACAAAATATGTATGTTGTAATTTATAATATACATATATTAATTAATTTACACTAAATACTTAAAAATGTATCTGATACTCGTTCATTAAATATCAGACAGCATCACTCACACTATATGTGTGTGGATATAATAGATATTGTATGTTAGTTTCTTATTATGCAAATAAATGCTCTCCCCTATTACCAGCTGTTTGTGATGCGTCATCAAAACACCTTGTCCCCTTGGCCTAATTTTAAATAAACAGATGTAAAGTTAAAGGGGGAGACCTCTGGGAAATAGTAGTCATGCGTTCGTCAATAGAATTTCATAACAAGTTGAGATAAACAATAAGAATAGGCTACTTGACTCTTTTTTAAAGTACGTTTTAAACGGTTAATATTTGATGTACTAAACCATTAAAAATATTACAACATTTTTTCGACACCTAAAAAACTGAAAAAATATAATTTTAAATTTCAATTTTCTTCGACCAGCAAAAACGCTCTCCGCCATGTTAGTCTACAGATTGTCTATGTTCTGACGTCACTCATATTGTAAACAAATTCTGACGTTAGTTAACAAACATAAGCTCACAAAGTTTAAATTAAAAACATGGCTT